TTTAACTTTTATTCTAAAATATAGTGGGTTAGTGGGTAGTAGTACCTCTATAGTCTATACGTCGTAGAAGGGACGATAAAAAAAAAATAAAAACCACTGCCCAAACTAGAACGCCAGTGTCATAGTGAAGTATTGCGCCGGTTGTAAAACCATATATTAGGCGACTCCAGATAAATACTTCAAATTAAACTAAGGAAATCGCGTACATCTATGTAATTGATAGTGTAAAACTAAATTATTATTATTTATTACGTCGTAAGAAACAACTATTTTTCTGTAAGATGGGTAGCACCATAATTGATTATGCTTTATCCGAGGAATTACCATAGTATTATATATATATAATTTATATTTTATATATATGTGTATATAACAAAACGAATAAATTATTTTATTTTTGTTTTTCACACTGTCAAAGTTTGAAGTATTCTTTTGCTTCATCTTACACCGAACAACTATTTATAAATGTGTATAGTAAAAATATTATTTTATCGTTTTAAGTTTCATCGTAAACAAATTATTGCATTAAAACTAAAATAATATACAAGTGTTGAGTTATTACTTCCTCCCAGTGTACTTTTTAAGATTATAACAAACTCGTATTTTATAAGTACGCAAACAATTAAACTCAGTTTTAAGCAATATTGAAATACATAGCTGAATTTATATGGACATTTGATGAATATATTATATAAACAATTTTACCACAATTATGACAAATCAAATGAATTCTAATCGGATCTAAATTTATCCAAAAACAATCTATTTTCACTGTAAGAAAATAACTGCTCAAGCAATAGTGCCTTCTCGGTTTTTCGAAATTTTCTCAAAAGCTATTGGAGAATTAGAAAAACTGCACCTCTAAAGAACAAGTTTAATAACAAAAATATTTTTATAAAATCTTAAACTAATAATTTCCTAAGTAGTTTCCCTAAAAAAATATGATGTGTCTCTTCATCTCAATATAATTTCACTACTTTAAGAAGCTTAAAAAATAACTCTAATTTTCATAGTTAAAAATTAAATTTGACTTAAAATGCTTTAATTTGAAATTAAAGAGATTCAAAAATGATTTAATTAATTATTTATGAACCAATTCGTTATAAATTAATGCAACATTACTATATTAACTAATATTTTCAAATGTCTAGTTGTATGAATAACAAGTTTTTGGAGATGACGAAGATAACATTGATAGTTGTGTAATTAATTAAAATGATCAATTGACAATACAAATGTATATATTTGATCCGAAAAAAATTGACATACGAACAAAATTGTTTAATAAATATTTTATACTTAAATTCAATAATAGACTACCATATGCATTGCATTTAACATAGGATAATTTCTCGTATCTACATACTAAATATTATTATGCGATAGAATATAGAATTTCAAACGTATAATAAACGTAAATAATCTTCATACGATATCATATCTTATAGTGGATGTATTGTATATAGGTACCTACTCATTCTTAGGTATTACATTTATTATTACAGAGGAGTAAGTATTATTAGAGCTCGAAATTGATCAAAAAGCCAAGTATATTTAAAATATTAATATAGTACCTATGTTCTTTTTTTTCGTAGACATATTTTTTCTACTTTTCGAAGTTCTAAGCATATTTTTTGTACGTGTGTTTTTGTTCTGCGACATTTTAATCATTTTGTCATAGCTGTAGACGATGGCGGCTTTCATTATTACCCATTAGTAAATAAGTATGAATACTCGTAATAATTATAAAACAAACAAACACATACGACACACCACACACCTATTGACTTGTAAAAAATGTATACAAATAATAAACATCACCTTTGTATACGGAAAAAGTTCTGAGAAACTCAATATTTGCCTTTACTATCACAATAACCATTAATCACAATAATATGCTGCATAATGAATTAGTATCAAGATACATTTTCCGTCGTGTACCTAACTACCAACTATACCGAATTTGTGATGGATAAACAGTTATTGTTATCTTTAATTATTGTTGAATTCAACGAATATTGTCGTCAAATGTGATCACAACTACACATTAAGGTTTTCAAAACTTTCAAGACACATTGTTGAACACATAAAATGCTAATTGCAGGTTTCAGACAGAAGTTATACTTGTTCGAGCGGTGCGCTCACCATGAAAACTCGATTATCTCACCATACGAAACAAATATATTGTATATACATGAATTGTATCAAGGATGTGTTTTTAATATTTTGCATAATTATTTGGAATTGTCATTAATTCATTTTGGAAATATAAACTATGAGTAAAAAAATAAATCATAATAAATAAACTTGAATTATTTATTTGTATATTTAAACCCTAAATCGATTTCAGTATAGGCACTCATCATAGATAACACTTCAAAATGTTTTGGAAAAAAAAATCTATTGTATTTATGCACTCCCGTAGTATTAATTTTACTCTTCTGCCGTAATATATTTTTGAGGGCTCGGCAAATAGTAAAACAGTCTTTGTAGATTTTTAAATTTAAATTACTTCACATTCTTTCTTGGTCATATTATTTTTATTATTATTCTGTATCGTATCAATACCTTTTCAAAACCTCTTTGAGTAATATTACCGATATATTTTATCGTCTATCCCTTGAACACATACTTTGCCTTTGACTTCCAATCACGTCTGAATAATGCTTTTTTTAGTCCTTAAACTACGGTCCAAAACACCCCCGATGTTAGGATAAATTGCGTTATCTGAATACAAGGGTGACTGGATAAACAAACTATACTCTCGGATAAGTACATCGTTCAAACTAAATAAACCAGTCATTTTATTTTTTTAGGTGATTCCTCGGAAAATATCGTAATTCATTTTAAAAGACTTTAGTACAGATTTCTGGTCAAACTACAAAACAAATTTGATTGAATCATCTAAGACGACGTTCAATCTTTTGAAAGATGTGCATAAATTGCATTTCGCAACATTTATATTATCATACTTTTGATATGCAGTATAATATACTGATACATCTACTTAATATACAGTCACATTAAAAATGCATTATGAGTATCCGTTTGTTACACACATTGATCCACTATACTTTAATACAATAAATCAAAAACAAATCATCAACGTCTAAACCTATAAATGCGTACGTTTCAATTGACTCAACAGATTTCCACTTCAATTTTTCTGGGACGATTGAAAGTTACTTCTTAATCTACTGAGTCGGTGCCTTGGTGAAACAGCTTACCATAGCAACATTTTTAATTGATTATAATTAATTGTCCCGAGTATAAAGCCTAGGTACATACTCTTTTTCAAGGCAAGTTTTGCAACTGTAATAAAATTTAACTTTATGTTTTTAAATAGTACCTTATAGTATTTATAAATACTCTGGTCACCATAAAAATATATTATTCTTTTTAAATAACCAAGTTTAATAATTAAAAATAATGAATGCAAGAATGAACTCTCTCTGGAAAAAAAATGAAAAAAAAATAATAATAAATTGTTTAAATTGTGCAATAATTCAAATTATAATAAATGATGCAACATTTTTTCATGCCTATATGTGATGAACTTTGTTTGTTCTTATAACAGCGAACTAATTTTGGATTTCAGTTATTTAATTTGCATATTTTAGATTTATAACTTACGTGATTGGTTTTAAAAAATTTGAAAAAAATCTAATATTCAAATACTATACCTACTTGTGTTATTTAGACTTATACCATAAATCTTAATATTTATAAGAAATTGTTAAAAGTGTATACTGAAATAATATTTCAAATTTTAATTAAAGCACAAATAAATTGTGCTCACTAATTTTTGATGGTAATATACATATAATTGTATTTAGTAAACTTTAGTTCTTTAAAATATATACTATAAAAAATGTCCATAATATAGTCTAATCTGATGAATATGTAACAAATATTCTAAATACAAAATTTAACCGACATCAGAACGAAAACCGTTTTAAAAAATATTTCAATATCACTTCAAGTAAATGTAGGTTTATCCTCAATTAATGAAGAATCTTTCTCATTATAAGATTACGAGCTTTCAAAATATAAAATACACGACGATTGCCAGTCTTACAAAACGTTGTTTAACTCGTTAAATTGTAAGTTGTCTCGAATTCTCAATATCCAATTAAAACTAAAAACCACTTCAATAATCATTCATGATGTATAATACATCATAACGTAATATATTATATTTCTATAATCCGATACATCCGTACTAAAAACGATCCAGTATTTAGGATTTTAATATAAGAAAGGATAGAAAATCAAAATACTATTTCACCTTAATCGTTAATTTTTTTTTCACTTTCATGTTTGTTCTTTTAATTATTTCTAAGTACACATCGAATAAGAAAAGACCCAAAAATTTAAATGTACAAAAATATTTTTAAATGTAAAATACATCTTGCATTTTTTTATAAAATGATTTATTCTTAAAATCCAAATGAAACATTTAATAATAAATTATTTGAGTTTCAGATGAAATTGGAAATTAAACAATTTAATCTTAAACTAGTTAAATATAATCTAAATATATAATATAGGACTAATTTGTCTTTAAACTGAAAATCGATGTATTATTGGAACACACTGTTTGAACATAAATCCTGTCGAGTCCATAATAACTATTGTAAATAACGAAACATACATTTAACATGCCAGATTGAACATTACGTAGGTAGGTACCTACTTATAATATCATGACTTGTCCATAGAAAACATGAATAATACTATAATATACAGCTAATGTAATAATAAGACAGAATATATCGAATTCTAATCGTTTTTCGTTGGTTATAAAAAATATTTCACTCTTCGTCTAGTCGTCAAGGATGTTTAAATTTCACGGAAATCGAAATACAACGAAACTTAATAATTATAATTATTCATGGACCGAATATTTTCATACTTTTTGTGAAAAAAATCTCCCCCCTCCCCCCTTAAGCATTAACTACGTTACTAGAACATTATAAAATATAATGTTAAAGACGTACCTGTTGAATCAATCGCATGGACGTCGGCCCGCAAAAGGCTGACGAGGAAGCAGCACGCAATGCACGCGGCATGTGATTCGGCCGGCCGCCACATTACTACTAACGGTGGACTCTCTTGCAACCAACGTCGTTTAAAATTCCGCCCCCGCCGCCACCACCCCTGACCTACAGCACCACCGATATAACGGTAATAACAGCATGCGTGCGTGTTTAAAGCGAAACAAAAATATTTTCCGAAAATACGTATTCTTACCGGAATGACCGAAACCGTTGTGTTAATATTGGTATATAGTTGATAGGTACGATGGGTAAATACGGTTCTTATCCAAAGGCTTTAGCCGAAAGCGGTTAGTAATAATAATATTACTATGGATCAGATAGATAATATATGTTTGTATAATATTATTGTTTATCATTGGTGGAGATTTAGTAGAATTTTAGAGAGGAGGGCTTAAATTGTGTTTTAATAATGGATAAATCTGCTATTCATTTAAATAACTGCTTTCCCCTAATATCGATGATTAACATTTTTTTTTTTCATTCCCATTCACGTAAATATTATTACCTATTGTGCATAAAAACATTATTAATTACAGTGTGAATAACAATAATCAAACGCATTGTGTTAATGTCCACAATTGTGCATCAATAAAAACAAAAAATCAATAAATGCGTGTTAATCTTAGTATAATAATTATCGAATATCTAAAGAAAGTTTTTGAGACATGGCGTGTGGAAGATAAAAATAACTATTAAATCCAAAAATAGTCTATAAACAATCCAAACCATAAAGGATTTTAAACAATATTCTTCTCAATATCGCAAGCTATAAAATAATAACACTCTTTTCAAATGCCAGGGAATGGCCTTTATTATTATATACACCATATCCGCCTGTGATGTACAATATTATGTATTATAATATACAAACGGCGAAGAGAATTTCTCAGTTATTTAAGAAATTTTTAATATGCAATCCAACTGGATGTTAATATCACTCAGTTTCGAACGTATTTTATACTTACAGCTTTATATTTATGTATACAGCTTTCAATATACACAAGACGGCCTTTGAGGGACTGGAAAATTTGGGTAATTTACCCTTCTGGCTATTTAAAATCAAACATGGTACACAAGATCCACCTCCCCTAGAAAACTGTTGGCAGGCGTCTTTGGCAACAAGTGTTTCAGTAATGATAATAATAATAATAATGATAATAATAATAATAATAATAATAATATTATGATTTCGGGTCTGTGTAGCGAAATGACGTGGTTCTCGGGTCTCCGATCATAAATTCATAATATTGTGAACTTCGATTTCAAACGGCGAGCTGTTGCCTGTAAAGAAGCCGTCGATATCTAAATAAATACATTTGGCATGACATGACTTGAAGGGTGGTAATTGGCATCACGAATGTTGATGTCCTTAAGTGTGGAGATTATGGAATTTATAAGGTTCATAAGGTAAGGGATAACATTTGCAATCTTCATATTCATTACGCCACATTGTCCAGCCGTATTATTTATGTGTTTAAATAATTTATTATATTACAGTACCCACCTATTAGGTACACTGACTGTCACATCGACAAATTGTCGGGAATTCGTTGGCGCTAGAAAGTAGAAAGTATTGAGATTCTGAGTGTGGGAACCAGTGATGTGACCAGTGTGCGGGATGTTAGTGGTATAATTGTCATCCAGAGCCGTCTCAAAGTTTTTCGGGACCCAGTACGAATTAATGCAAGGCGAATCGTATCACAAAATAATCATAAAAATTATAGTCACAACGATTTGCAAAATGTTAACAAATTAGACTAACCTGCAAGGTCATTCAAACACATGGCATCGTTGAATGTAACTTGTATAGTCTTCAGTATTAAAATAATAACACTTCTAAAAACTATATTAGCTGCACAACACTATACAATGAATAAGTAATTACAAAAATATTGAACATTCAATAACATGGTGTAATAACTATAATAGGTAGGTATAGTAAAAAATGAACAAACTCTGTTATGCCACTTAGATGCTTGCAATAACGGATTCCTAAAAAGAAACTTGGATATTTGTATGATTAATATTTGCACCGTGCAAAAAACAAATGATATTTTTATTATCATTTAAGATAACTGGAAAAGTAACATGTTTCATGAACATTTTTGTAGAAAATAATATTATGTAATAAAAACAAAATAAACAAAATAAAATTGTACTATTTAAATTACACAAAACGATTTTAACAACAGTAGGTCCTTATGAGTAACACAATTATTTAATGTCCTTGAAGTTAACCACCCAACATTATTAAACCAAATTCATATTTGGTCATTCTTTAGTAAGTCATTACTATGTATTTGTAAACACAAAATTAAAATTTGTAAGTCAACAACTTTCAGATTATCCCTGAAAGTTTAAAACCTTCCTAAATTCGTAAAAGTCGGATGATCTTTAATATCCCAACATCTAAACAAACCAAATATTAGTAAGTCATTAGTAAGTATTTGTAAGCACAAAATCAGAATTTGTAAGTCAACAACTTTCGGATTATCCTTGAAAGTTTGCTGGCAGGGTCACTTCAACATTTTGAAACTTTTTTCCACCCCATAGTGGTCCATTAGTAAGTATTTGTAAGAGCACATTCTAAGTCAGTGCTTTACAAGTTGTAAATGATATTTGAATTTTATGTTTTTTTGTTTATTTGTTTTGTAAGCATTGCTAACTATAATTCTAAATTATTATAAAAAAAATATATTTTACCACATTTTAATACAATGATCTTTAATTTAGAATTATTTAATACTTAATGTTTACCTATAGGTACATAAAAATATATTAAACAATACTTTTAGCCAGAAAATAGCAGTTTCTTCGTATCTATTTAAAATTAATAAGAGTGTGATTATTTCAATGGGCAAGATTTGATTTTTTTTTTACTTAATATTTACAGCACAGACTAAGATATAATATAAATAGGTTCGTATTTACATCTACAATTCAAATAACCACTAACAAAGATGGAAGCATATCTTACCTTGTCCATGATTATAACTTATAAGCAAAAAATTAAGCTTATAACATTTTTTGAGGAGGAGGAGGAGAAGGAGGGCTCTCTATTTGTGTAATCGATTTCACTTACACAATTCACCAAAATATATAACTAATCATAACATTCTTCTCACTGAAAATTCTAGGACACTGGTGATAACAACAGGACTCATACAAGTGTACGACACACCTGCGGTTACCGAGTTACCAGAAAATTGTACACCATACAGCAGCGTAGGCATTGATTCCAATGAAAATAGATTAGATACTATTTATATCCCTACAAGGAACCCGTAAATAATATAGGTGCGGCATTATGTGCGTGTTACTTTGACGAACCGCCCTCGGCTTGTGATGTTATAAATTACAACCCTCCGGTAAAGGACATGATGTTTCATCTGACCCAAAATATTGTTGCAGGCTATGAATTCCATGAACTCATAACCCAATTATAACGAATAGATGGAATAAGTAGCACGCACATGATTCCTAGTATTAACTTTGTATAGTGTATAATGTAAGATGCAAGTAATACTGGAAGGATTTCGATGACCATCAATGAAGTTGGTACTCGCGGATGCCACGAGCAGTCATTATTCGCATTCTACGACCACACTCAAAAGACACCTGCAAAACCCACTAGCTGGTTCAAGACAACAGATCAAACATCACTTATAAGGGAGGCTGGAGGCTAATATCACACCACCCACGAAGACACGACTTGTACACTTTTATAATTTTTTCTTGAAGGAATCATAATTATGTTCACTGCTGAAAATCATCCACAACTATTTATTGGAGAATCACTATAATCTGGATCTCTGACAGTCCGTTAGGGCAATATTATAAGGGTCACAAATATAAGTGCAAGACCCATAGTACTGGTGTAATTTAGTCACACTGCACAATAGTTTGATCAAAAATCGAACTGCAAGACGGACGTGCAGACAAATTCAGTCAACAACCGTGGTTTCCTCAAGAATGGTTTGAGCATGGTATATAACGTGTACCACGGATTTGAATTAATCTGAACGTGTAAAGAAGCTATCACAGTTACGTAGCATGTCGTCTGTCATGCCATGCCCAAAAGTTGAAGGCCCAGCTGGCAGCTCTGAAAATGTTCCGGTCAGAGACATTTTCAATAATTTAGCACCCGGGTGCTAATGTTTTTCAGCCCCTTCCCCCTCAAACCCCCAAAAAAAAAAATACTTGACTTTTTCCCCCTACAAAGAGCGTCACGGAGCTTACCTTACTTTGATCACCCGTAATAACATTTAACAACGTGTATGTTATCGTTATCCTCTCTGTCACATTATGTTATTATCCATTAACTACAAAAAATAAATATTTACTGTTTATTAAAAGAATTTTTTTTTCGAGCTTTAGAGGAGTTATACTCATCGATTATCATCATCATTATCTATAAATCTTGTATGTAGCCCCGTGGTGCCAGTCGGTGTTTCATTAACAGAAGCTGGGAAATATGATTCCGCCTCTAAAAGTATGCCACCCTACACTTCTAACATTCTGTTACCTTCATAATAGATGTATGGAACACACCATGATACAGTGTACCTAATATAAATTTGGCTTCGGACTAATTGAAAGCCTACAACGGAAATCACCGCGATTACCCGCCAATAACGAGTATAGAGTGTGGACCACCATCGTCAACCATATTTTATACACGGATACCAGTGGTACCGTGTACACTCATATCCAACAATATAATTGGACGACTGTTTTCATAACAGTTGTTGGATAGCACATTAACTCGAGTCCTCAAGCTACCAAACATTTGCCGTAGGTTTATTAAATAGTTCGGTACCTACTGTGGTTATAATATGGATTTCACGCAAACTGTGTACCTAATTATTACTTAACTCGTTTAAGCCGGGTTCGCCCTGCACCGTGTCGTGTCATATTTCGTGTATTTAGTATTTAATACGTGGGTAGGTAACAAAATGTTGGTAACACGATACCTCCAAGTTAAATATATATTCAACTTCAGATACACGACACGATGTATAATGGCATAATGC